TTGCTTAAAACTATTGTGTGTGCGCTTCATTACAGCCGGCTGCCTTTGTAAAATCATAAGTTACATCCGACTTTGTGCATATCATTTCGCATCTTGCCCCTTGCCTGCGGGCACGCCTGCGGGCGCATCTCTGTTTATCTCGCCTGTTTGTCTAAGTCTTCGGCCTTGTCAAAAATGGGTCGTCTCTGGGCTTTGACATTCACTCCCGTCACTTATGACTTCCGAGTTCTGTCAAAGAGGGGCAACTGTAGACACCCCATTTTTGACCGACCTTAAGACTCAGACGTCACTGATTGAGCGCTCAGTGATATTGCATATTGTGCTCGTTTAGAAGTTTCAGAGTCCCGGCTGCAAGCCTTGCCTCCGGACTTCCGGACTCTTTCGTGCCATGCCTCGGTTTGCGAACCAGGCTCTATTTTCTTTATTTTCTCTTCCTGAAGGGAGGGAGAGGTCTTGTAGATCATCTCTCAGTGGCCATAGGCCACGTTTCGCGATCGTAGGCCATTTTTCCCGTTTGGAGCCCAGTTTCTGATTTTTCGGAGCCGACGGTCGTGTGCCTTGGTTCGGGACCGCCTAACTACCTCCGTTTGCTCCGGTTTTGGCATAAACCTTATTTCCTCCCTTTTGAGGGACACTGTGGTCTGAAAGACCAACTTCGTAGTCGAACGCCATTTCCGGTGCCTAACAACCCATTTTCGAGGCCCCGGGCCGCGTGTTTCAGTCCCCGAACCTTCGCCTTGCATCCATTTTGGTTCATTTTTGGTAGAAACCTTATTTTCATTGTTAGGACGCTTATAGGAGGGTGGGAGGCCAGCAATTGTTCTGAAAAGCCAGCTTTATTTCTTCATCGCTCTCCGTCGCCCGTTTTCCTCACTAAAAAGCTAATGTTGACCACTCCGGGGCCACTTTCTTTAGCCATAAACCCCATATTTGTGTTGTACACACCTGGGAGGCCACCAATATGTATAGGCCGGCCAGTAATTGTCCTTGACCCTTTTGAACCCCTCTAAAAAGTTGGCTTTTCTCTCTCCTGGTTCACATTTTCTGGGTTTTGACCACATATTTGTGTTGTGCACACATGGGAGCCACCTTTTTGGGGTGGCCGACCAACAATTTTCATTGACCCTTTTGACCCCTGGCCGGCCAGCCAGGGGGGGTGGCTGGCCGACCAGCTGAACCTTTTGAACCTGGCCGGCCAGAATCCCCTCTCCAAGTGCCTTCCAGTTGTACCCTCTATTTCCCCCCAGATTTTGTATCCGGGGAGGTGCCTTTTGGGGGGGAAATTTGAATTGGTTTTTCCCCCCCTTTCCTTGGCCTCTCTCCCTCTATAAAACCAGCACCCCAGCTCCATTTGAAGGGTTAGAAAATCAGCTAAGGCACCATTGATACATATACTCTCTATCTCTCTCATTCAACCCTCAAAGCCCTAAGAGTCTTGCACCATTTACACACCAACTCATAGCACCACACCTCCACACTCCATTCCAGCAACTTGGAGGCCATTTGCAGAGGTTGGAAGCTCAGAAATTTGGACCAAAAGCTGCTGGAGACTTAGGCTACAAGGGTGAGTCCCTATTTCCTCTTTTCTTGCCCTATTTTGCATGCTTTCTTAGCCTTTATTGATTGCATTTTTGGGCTCCGACCCAAACTGGAAATAGTCATATTTTGAGCTTCTTTTCATGTTTGATCAAGGACCACTTACTGTTTGAGGTCTCCTACTGCCACTTGCCTCTTTATCTCTCTTTTAGGCCTATTCTTTGCATGATATTTTAGTATTATTTGTGAGCTGTTTTGGACTTGGTCATAAACTGTAAAATGTCTTTTATTGAGCCCCTGTTCAACTTTTTTGAAGGGATCTTTTCCATTTGATGTCAACTGCTACCACTTGTCTATTTATCCCTCTTTTGGGCCTTTTTCTTGCATGATAGTTTAGCCCTATTTGTGATCATTTTCGTGGATTGATGTAAACTGTAAAGTGCTTCATTTTGAGCCCCTATTTAACTTTGTTAAAGGACTCTTCACAGTTTGGGGCCAGCTTCTGTCCCTTGTCTCTATTCTCTCTTTTAGGGCCATTTTTGCATGATAGATTAGCCCTATTTATGTTCTTTTTTGATATTTTTTATAAACTAGAAAAAGGCTTGTTTTGACATCATCTTCATATTTTATTAAGGGAATTTTCTTATTTGAGGTCTCATGCTTCCTTTTATGCTTGATTGTCCCTTGTTTTGAACCTTACACCTAAGCTCTTGTTGCATGCTTTGTTTGGCCTTCTAGCCACTGAAATCCAATGGATTTTCAGTGGCTAGCACACTGTTTTGAACCTCCAAACCAGAGGGGGGTGACCCCCTCTCTCCTTGACTTGTTTGGTGGTCATTTTGGCCTTCCAAAGAGACCCTATCTTGCATGCTTCGAAGTCACTTTCCAGGGTCAATTTGGTGAGTTTTAGGACTACCATATTTGATTTTCATAGTTGTTTATGCCATGCTAAATGTCTACCTTGCATGTGCTTAATAACTCCTTGCATGGCCCTCCAAAGTAACTCATTATTTTTGCATACCATGGTTGCATATCAGTGGTTATTTGGGCCTATTTTCACATGTTTTGTTCACTGATTTTTGCTGGTTTGGTGAGATTCCATATGCTTCACACACTTGCCATGTAAACCATGTTTGCTAGTCAAAGTTGCATGCTACTTTCGTCCATCTTGCTAGCACTTTTTGGCCATGCTTTGAACTGGAAATGTTCACGTTTTGGGATTTCCTTGGCTCTGTCTTCATGCTTCATGATCAAATAATGCATGCTTTGTATAGCTATAAGTCATTCCATGTGCCTAGTTTCGAGTTTCGGGTTTCATCTCCTGCATCGGGTGCCATCTTTCCATGTTTCGAGGCTGTTTAGCATCATATTTCAGTGCTGGAATTACATGCTTGTATGCCATATTTCATGCCTTGCCATGCCTTGTTAGAGTTGCATACTATGCCTTAGGTTCGGTCCTCGATTTGCGTGCATGCGTGCACGCATTTTGAGAGTCTCATTTTCATCTACTGGCTATTGATGTGAGTGTGGCTGAGGTCCACTCATGTTAGCGTAAGCCCATTAGGCATTGTGTATGCCATTTCATTTCATAACATTGCGTATGCTATGTTGTATATTAGAGCATTGTGTATGCTAGGTTGCATATTAGGATTGCATTCATGCATATCATGCATATTGCATAGTGTTTGGGATAGGAGTTAGCCCAAGCATGGAAAACGAGGGACGTTTCATACTCCGAGTGACGGAACGTGTCTCAATTCCCGGTCGCCGACACTCCGGATCATCCATGATGGAGCCTAGACCTTGTTGTGTCCATATGTGCTTTAATTTAATATTAAGTCATGCAATTTGACTCCTCGGCCATCGTGCATCGAGATGCGTGATTGGTGGCACGAGGATCGAGGACTACACTCCCTGAAGAGTAGTCATGCATACATATGTGAAAATACTTTGCTATGCCCCTTTGTTGCTCTCTGTTGCAGCAAATCAGAAATCAGTAACCTTTCGGAGCTTGGCACGTATTCCAAGAATAATTGCAAACAGAGGCAAACCGGGGCATCGCAAGGGATTCTCCGCACAAGGCAACCCGAGCATGCATCATTCATCATTTGAAACAGAGCTGAGGCAGTCCATGGATTTGCGTGCCAATTTATTACTTTCCTAGATTAATGTGTTAATTAATTAGGATTTTGTATTTATTCGGGACTGTATTATTTATTCATTTGGGACTGTATTATTTATTCGGACCCTCTGCGCGAGGGCACAACTGTAATAAGTGTGCGTGTGTGTGATGTATGTCTTCCAACCACACGTCTTTCTCCCTTTATGTACTCGCTTATGATGGTTAGATTTAGGGGCATGTTTAATTGCATACAGTAATAGCATGTGATTCATTCATCTGTCTGTATCACCGGCTCGGCGCATCATACTAACTGCATTTGTATCTCAATTCAAGTTGGAATACATTATGTAGCATTTCAACCATCTATAGAATAGCCGAGCCTATCTTAGTTGCATTGCAGTGTTGCATTTAGGCATTCTTATAGTTAGATCTGCCAGGATTCTACCATAGCATCTGTTGGCTTGGATACTCGGTAATTTAAGCTTTAGTATCCTTGCATGTGTGTGAGTGACTGCCATGATAGCATGCTTACCATGAGGCTAATTGCTTATGTGATATAACTGCCTGAATGCTTGTGGGTGAAGGTTGGGTTATTTGGATTGGAACAATTCGTTGACTATGAGTTTTTTTTTGTTTTAAGCCCACTAGATAGTGGCAAAATCATGTTTTTCTAAGCCCACCCGAGGGTGGCAAATCCACGTCTTAGCCTACTTGCGGGTAGCACCATCAAACCACTTTAAAAAACAAACATGAAATGTTTTGTTCCAATTCAGACGATCTAGTCTATACTTGTATACTGTGCACATCACATAGTAAATCTAGGCTAATAATCGGAATAAGAACGCATAAAGTTTTCAAAACTAGATATCATGGTTAGTGGAGGCCGATCTTTGATCGGGCAAGCGGGAGTGCTCACGAAGTGACCTTCCCCAATCGTACCCAAGTTCCCGAGCCGAGGCAACTTTGGTGATGATAGACACGTAGCCTTAGGCAACGAGTCAGGGTTTCCTAAATTTCTCAAAATAAAATATTTAGGTGGCGACTTTGTATCTGGCAAAGCAGTCCACGTTTGGCACTTCTTTCAAAAAAAAAATCTATTTTCTCAAAACGATTTGCCGGATTTGGACTCTTTGGTTCAGATTAAGAACCGTGACAATTTGAGAGTCTGAACTTGTAGTGAGCCCAAATGAACAGAACGGGACCTCATTCCTCCCGAGGCGTTCGGGTGCGTCTACAGTTTGTCTCTGATCATTGTCCACTAGTGGTTAGAGAAGATACTAGGGACTGGGGTCCACAACCATTCTGATTCATTAATGCTTGGTCTATACATCCTAATTTCAAGCAAACAGCAGCAGCAGTATGGTTTGAGGTCCACGAACAGGGATGGGCTAGGTGCACATTGAGAAAAAAGTTCATAGTCTTGAAGCACAAACTAAAACTGTGGAATAAGGAGGTTTTTGGGAATGTGGATTATCAACTTAAACAAGCTGAGGAGGATTTACATAGCTTTGATTTAGAGGCAGAAAAAAGGGAATTAGATAAATCTGAACATAAAAGAAGATGTGAGGTCAAGGACTTGGTGTGGAAATTAAGGAAGAGGAAGGACTCATTATGGTTTCAGAAATCTAGATTGGATTGGACTCAGATGGGAGATAAGAACACTAGATTTTTTCACATCTGCGCCAGTAGGAGGAGATGTAAAAACATACTAGACTCTGTACATGTGAATGTCGTCAAAATTGAAGATCCAATTGCAATCAAACATGAAGTATGTAGGTACTTTTCCAAGCTGTTTTCTAAAACTTGGGTGACTAGACCTAAACTCTCAGGGGACTTCAAAACTATCAGCAAGATTAAGGTTGAAGAGGTGTTAGAGGCTAAGTTTTCTGAGGATGAAATTTGGTTAGCTATAAAGGAGTGTAGTGGGAACAAAGAGCCGGGACCAGATGGTTTTAATATGGCATGCATCCAAAAGTGTTGGAAATTCATGAAGAAAGATTTTGTCCAATTCCTAAAGGAGTTTCATTTGAATGGAAAACTAGTTAAAGGCATCAATAATTCCTTCATAGCCCTGATTCCTAAAAAAGATAACCCGTCTGATTTAACAGATTAAAGGCCTATTAGTCTTATCAATTCAACTTACAAGGTGTTGGCAAAAGTGCTTGCACGAAGGATCAAGATGGTTCTTCCTGAGATCATTGGTTAGGTTCAAACTGCCTTTTTAGAGGGCAGATATATTATGGATGGAGTCTTAATAGTTAATGAGGTGGTGGATGGTTGGAGGAAATCAAAGAAGAAAGGTATAATTTTGGACTTTCAAAAAGCCTTTGACTCAGTCAATTGGGAATTTCTACTGTCTATGATGTCTAATTTTGGATTTGTTGAGAAGTGGTTGAATTAGATTAAAACTTGTATCTCATCAACAAGACTATCTGTGTTGGTAAATGGGTCACCTAAGGAGGAGTTTTCACTTGAGAAAAGGCTTAGGTAAGGGGATCCGCTTTCACCCTTTTTCTTTTCAATTATAGCAGAAGGTTTAAACTTACTGTTGTCAAGGCAAAAGATAAGGGTCTGATTCAAGGGGCTTTGGCAGGAAGCTAAGAGATTAGTATTTCTCATATTCAATTTGCTGATGATACAATAATTCTTTGTAAGGCTGTTAAAGAGGAAATTCTCTCAATAAAAAGGATCTTAAGATGTTTTGAAATATTATCAGGTTTACAAATTAATTTCCATAAGAATGTTGTCTGTGGGATTGGGGTAGAAAATGGGATTGTTCAGTGTTATGCCTCATTACTCAACTGTGGTTGGCAAAAATTTTCGTTAAAATATTTGGGGCTACCTTTGGGGGCCAATCTGAGAAGGAAGAAGACATGGCAACCTATCGTGGATAAGGTGAAGATGAAACTATCATCATGGAAAAGGAAGTTATTATCTTTTGTTGGTAGATTGACACTCATCAAGTCTATTCTATCAAGCTTGTCTATCTATTATTTATCTATTTTCAAAATGCCAAAGGGAGTGGTAAAGAGTATTGAGAGGTTGCAAGCTGCTTTTCTATAGGGGGATTCAGAGTTAAAGAGAAAGGTTCACCTAGTGAAATGGATGGAAGTTACCAAGTCTAAAAAGCAAGAAGAGCTGGGTTTAGAGAGAATCAAGGATTTGAAAGGGAGTTTGTTATTAAAATGGTGGTAGAGATATGGTTCTGAAAATGGTTCATTATGGAAAAATGTTGTGTGTAGTAAATATGGTCATGAAGGTGGTGGCAGGAGTCCATGTTTGGTGATCTCTAGTTCGATGTCCATAGTTTGGCAAGATATATTATCCTCTGTGTTAGAAAATTCTGATTTGTATTCCTTTTTTGTTTATAATTCAAAAATTATGATAGGTAATGGATGGAGGATTCATTTTTGGTGGGATACATGGTTGATGAATGCAAAGTTGAAGGATGTCTTTCCTAGGCATTTTAGTTTATCTAAGACTAAAGATGGGACATTAAAGCTTTTGGTTCAAACCAGAGAAGCAGTAGGGGAGTGGAATTTCTCATTCAGAAGACCTTTAAGAGCTTGGGAAGAGGAGGATGTCAAAATACTTAATGAGGTGTTGAATGGTGCTCCCAATTTAAAGGTCAATATAGATGATTAGGTTAGGTAGACTGTTGATTCGTCTGGATCTTTCTCAGTTTCATCTGCTAGGAGAAGGTGTGAGTTTAATCATGGTCCATCTATCAGTATTACAAAACTGCTATGGGGTAATGGTGCACCACCAAAAGTTAAGTTTTTTGGTTGGTTGGCTTGGAAAGGAAGAGTGAAAACAACAGCATACCATCAGAGAATTTGAGTTCTAGATTCTAATGCTAACAATCTTCGTCCATTTTGTAGGAACGAAGTGGAATCTATTAATCACATAATCCTTCACTGTCATTTGGTATGGAAGTTGTGGTCTAAAATTCTGGATTGGTGGAATGTGTCTTGGGTTATCCCTGGGTCTATTGGAGGCCTTTTGGAGTGGTGGTCTAGTATGAGTTTAAACAGATTTGAAAGGAGGATATGAAAGTCTGTTCCTTTTACTTTCACGTAGTTCGTGTGGAAGATAAAAAATGAGTGTCTGTTCCAAGGAGTTCATCCAGATTTCAAGGGACTTAGGGAGATTATTGAAATTAGAATTGCTTCATGGTTGAAATATAACACAGTTGGGTTGTCATTTTCTGTCAATGATGTGGTCTTTAATTTGCAGCAATTGAGATTTTGTTCAAGATAGCTGAGAAGTTGCAGAGGTCTGGGCTGATTTGTTTGTTTGTTTGGGTGCTTTGTTTAGTGGGTGCTTTGTTTGTTTGTGTGGGGATATATTTTCTGAGTACCAACACGTGGCATGGTCATGCCGACGTGTTGGCCGAGGTGCCACGTGTCCTGGTCATGACGCCGAGGTGATCTCGGCAAGGCCGAGGTTATCTGCGAAGATATCAGAATCCGAGATAAATGGATAAAAGATAAGGGACAGGAGTCCTAGAGTAAAGAGAAGACTTTGCTAAGATAAGGATAAAGCTCTATGGGAGTTTATCTTTATCTCTTGAGAAATCTAAAGTAAGCACTGAATGGGAGTCCATAGAAGTCATGCTTCTAGTGGGACTAGGATTAAGTTGGCTATAAAAGAGAGGCACCCCCGTGGGTCTAAGGTACGCAGTTTTATGCTTAAGCTTGTGAGTTTAGCACTTGATTATCTTTGAGAGATATACTGACTTGATCGTCGGAGTGCCCCCGGGTGGAAGAGCCACCACCGGAGCCTTTTCTTTCTGTTACAGGTTTGCTAAAGCCATCTATTCTGCCGGTGCTCTCCAGCTGATTACTAGGCGGGCAGTGTGTTCAGATTTTCACCCACACAATTTGGCGCCGTCTGTGGGAATCTTAGAAGAATAGATGGCCAGTAACGGACAGAAGGAAAACATTGGGGGCGACACTCCTGCTGGGAGTGGCAGACCAATTGACCTTGATGTTGAAGGAGACAACCACAATGCAGAAACTCATGACCAAGGCCACGTCGAGAAAGACGTCGGCCAGGAGGGCAACACTTCAAAGAAGACAGACCAAGGCAAGTACTATAACGAAGATAACCTTCATGTATGGAGCGATAGGTGCTTACGGAGGGATGAGGAAGTAAAAGACTTGGCAAACAAGTTGGTGGACCTACAGTCGGTCGTCAACTTCATGATGCAAAATAATGTCATGCAGCTACCATACCCGCTGCAGGACACACCGATGCCAGCAACCAATGCCCAGAAGGGAGGAAGAAGAACAATCCCCGAAGTCCCTCAGCACACCAGGAGCGAAAGGCACTCTCACCAACCTTCCAGGGAAGGCGGACGAGAGGAGCCGAGACGAGAAGAGTCCCGAAGGACGTATCACACGAAGGATCCAGAGCCCAAAGAACATCGCCATGTTCAAGGGCAGGCACTTTGCTTTGACATAACACATGGAGAGAGATCAAAACGAGCCCACCACGAGGCCGAAAGTAGTGTGCCGAAGAGATTGAAATCAAAAGATAGCCAAGCTCCAGGAAGGAGTAAAGAAGACTTGAGAGATTACCTCAAGAGGAGGCAACAGAATATTGAAGCCGAGGTAACTTCCCCAGTTAAGCCGAGGACACTATTCTCGGTAGAACTAGACAAATTTGAAGCACCAAAGAGATTCAGTATGCCGAGGTTCCAAATTTATGATGGTAAGTCAGATCCCAACTTTCATGTTGGACTATACCTAAACTCAATGGCATTATATAGTGGGAACGAGCCATTGCTCTGCAAAGTATTCCTCCCATCCTTTAGGAAAATTGCATCTGATTGGTTCCATAAACTACCGAAGGGAAGCATAAAGACATGGGAAGGCCTGGCCGAGATGTTTGTGGCCAGGTTTGTGACGAACAAACTACAACCCTTGAGGGTCGACGCCCTGATGGCTTTAAGAATCACCAAGGAAAAAGGCCTTAGGGCCTACGCGAAGAGGTACTACGAGATGTTCAATCGAATACCTGAATGCAACCAAGAAGTGGCGGTCGTGTCTTTCAAGAACGGCCTGAAAGTTGACTGCCCACTACGGAAATCTTTGGCAAAAACATTGCCAAAAAGCATGGAAGAACTCATGGCGAGAATCGAGAAGTATGCCAGAGCCGAGGAAGATACGTCGGTAAACAAAGAGATAAAGCAGGAGAAGGGAAACGGCTCGCCGAAGCGAGGACGAGGTAACAACGGGCCGACCAAACAAGAAACCGAATTGAAGGGTAAACAGGCAGTGACGACGGTGTTCCGAATCCTTATCCATAAAGTCCTGGATCAAATACGAAACCAACCCTATTCCAGGACACCGGCAAGAGCACCAGGGGAATTTATGGGAAGAAACGTTGGTAGGCGCTGTGCTTACCACAATGAAGAACGACACCCAACTCAGGGTTGCAGAGCCTTAAAAGCACACTTAGAAGACCTGGTAAGACAAGGCCACCTGAGGGACCTGGTCGATGAAGCCAGGACAAGGGAAGAACAGGCAAGATTGCCTCAAGCACCAGCAGCACCGCCACCCCCAACACAGCAACCACAGGCAGGAGGACCACGGGTGGTTAATGTAATCCACTCAAAAGTGAACGAAAGCGACATACGGGGAGAAACCCAAAGAGTAAAACACCTGCAGCACATAAACCAGGTCGGACACAAAAGACCTCGGCTCGAAGAATGCCAAGGACCGACGATAACCTTCACTGAAGCCGACCTAGAGATGGTCCAGCATCCGCATAATGATGCCTTGGTAGTATCCCTCCAGGTCGGGGAGTGCCAAGTAAAACGCATCCTAATAGATCAAGGCAGCTCTTGTGACATCATGTACGTCAGATGTTACAAGGAGCTGGGCCTTCATCCTGACGACCTAGAACAATCCAGCAACCCTATGGTCGGCTTCAATGGAACGCCGACGTAGCCACTAGGCGCAGCAAGCGTGGAAGTACAAGCTGGTACTAAGAAGATCAAGACAGAATTTATGGTGATTGACACACCCTCGCCATATAACATCATCTTGGGAATACCTTGGTTGCATGCAATAGGGGCAGTTCCCTCAACATTACATCAACTACTAC